ACGGAGGCAGACCCTAATATTCTCGCCAGAGCGTAATTGGATTTTTGGGAAGAAGTTGCGAAACCTTATTGGCGCGGCTTTTTAAGAGCCGAGTGGTAACTCTTCTATTAGCTATTTAAATGATTGCTGGTACAGTGTACCCGTCTCACACATGCGTAGATATGATAGTGGGGTTACTATATTGGAAGTCAGTCCGACTTTGGAAAGCATAGGTAGTTACACGTATCATTGAAATAATACATATTACTTCGAAGACGACCCGACGTTTACGTGTATCATTTATATGATAGACACGGAGGGCAGACCCTAACCGTTAATATACTCGCCAAAGCGTAATTGGATTTATGGGAAGAAGTTGAGAAACCTTATAGGCGCGGCTTTTTTTCATGAAATTTCACTCCGCAACGTTTCCTTCGCTCTTCGGCGTGTAATATACTAGTAACCGAACCTCGTAAGCCGTGACCCGGAAGTGGATGGGATTAGCGGTATCACGGAAACCCCATACAGTTCGAAAACCTACGCCAGAATGAGTTCTTAGCTAGCGAATAAAGGTCAACTTTGACGCTACAAAGCTCGTTTTTGTGTACAAGTGTGATCTTCAAGTGAACTTCCCGAGGTTCCCTGACTTGTAAGGATTACAACGACATATATTTTAGCCTGGCTTTCCCGATTCTGACTGCGCTATGATAAATTCTGTGAACCATGCTAAGGACTCATTTCGGCGGTTAACACCGAGCGCTACACATTTCTATGTTCAAGGCCACGAAAACGTGTCCAAAACTCGTAAAAATGGATTGAATACAAGGTCACAACAAAGAAGAAATGTTCTTCTCTATATGTTTAATTTGTTGGAGCACTGATTCCTCATTTGAAGGGAAGATTTTCGTGAGTTATTTTTCTTCCATGTTGCCGAATTTTAAAAGGGGATTTTCCACGTTACGATCGCCATATACTAGCCCCTAAAAATCTATTCTCTGACTGTTTGGGCTGTATTTCATGGAGAAATTAGCGTTGTTTACATGAAAATAGGATTTTCAAATGCCAGCAGGGTGTCAACATTTTACCAAACACATTGATTTTGTGTAGCAAAGTGGACTATTGTTATTCAAATAGCGCCTTTTTACAACTTTTGTCAGACAATACCGATGGGCATAGTGACGCCGCTTGGCCCCCAAATCAGCAAAATTTCACGAATTAGCCAAGCTAACACAAGCAAAAGTACGAAGAGAAGACCCTACATTTGAAAATTTTTTGAGAGGCGCAGCGCCCTTGTTTCATTGCTTGGGGAGACCCCTGGATTACTAGTAGTAGTTTTCTTAGACGACTTACCGATCATTGCAAGGTCGAGGGAACAATGCTTAGAGCACATTGCTATAGGCAGAGAGCTTCTAGAGCAACTCGGTTTGTTCTCAACCTGGAGAAGTCGCGGTTGGTACCGTCTCAGGTAGCGATTTTCCTAGGCCTTGTTCTCGATTCTCGTACTTTGACAATTTACCTAACCGAAGACAAGTTAGACAAGGTAGTGAGTTCTTGCCTATCACTTCTAGAACAGGAGGTGATAGGAATCAGACAGCTAGCCAGCGTGGTGGGGCTGTTAGAGTCCGCCAAGCAAGCCATTCTTCCAAGGCCCTTACTTTTCCGGGCTCTGCAACAGCTTCTCAATTTTCGGCATAAAGAAGCCGAGAGAATTTTGTCTCTTTAGTCAGTCTAACCCCAGATGCAGTAAAAGATCTACAGTGGTGGATCGGTCATGTGCGCGAAGTAAAGTCTTTGTTCCGTCAAACCTGACAATTTGCACGGATGCCTCACTGGAAGGATGGGGCGCGCATTGTTATGGTCAGGAGACAGGCGGGCGCTGGTCGCAAACAGAAGCGCGCATGCACTGTGACCAACTGACTAGAATTGAAAGCGGCCTCCCTGGCGCTAAGAAGCTTTGTGAGCGCAGATACTCAGCATGATCTGCTAAGGCTGGACAACGCAACAGCCGTTGCATATGTGAATCACGTGGGGGGAACAAGGTCGCCAGATTTGGCAGCCTTGGCCCTGGAGATGTGGTCGTGGGCCCTGGAAAGAGGCCTGACGTTGTCTGCAACTCACGTTCCCGGATTGACAAACACCCTAGCGGACAAGTGTTCGCGGGTTTTTTCTGGACAAGGTAGAGTGGCAACTGAACCGCTCAGTTTTTCCTGTCATTGAACAATTGGACAGGCAATGCATTGACAGTAGATCTGTTTGCTTCTCGTATGAACGCTCAGCTGAAGGAGTATGTCTCTTGGCGCCCAGAACCAGAGGCCATGTCGGTGGATGGCCTAAACATTCACTGAGGCAACCTGGGGCTAGCGCATGCCTTTCCCCGCTTCAGCCTAGTGTTCAAGGTACTGAGGAAAGTCCAGTCAGACGTAGCAATAGTGATTTTGATACCTCCAGTTTGGGAGTCTCAGGCTTGGTACCCCAAGGTGTTGAACATGTTGTTCGAGAGTCCGGTTCTCCTGCCACAGAGCTGGGATCTGCTGTTCCTGCCGCACAACAGGAGACCCCATCCGCTGTTGCCAGATCTGATGCTTGCCGCGTGGCCAAGATCAGGCGACAGTTGCAGGGTCGGGGCCTTTCGGCAGGGGCTTCAGACCTCATCCTCTCGGCTTGGAGAGAAAGCACTTCTAGACAGTATCAGTCAGCATGGGCTCAGTGGGCCAGCTGGTGTGATAGAAGGAAGATTGATCCAGTTTGCGGCTCTATAGAGAGCGTAGTAGAATATCTTGAATGGATGTTCCGACAGAACTACTGCTATACATTGTATGTCAATTGGGGTGGCTCGTTCTGCGATCTCGTCTGTACACTTACCAGTAGACCATTGTAATGTGGGTAGTCACCCTCTAGTGTCCAAACTGATGAGAGGTCTGTTTCACAAACGTCCTCCTTGTCCAAAATATGTTTCAACATGGGACGTCAGTCGGGTCCTAGAGTACCTTCTGCATTGTTGCCAAGCTAATAGTCTTAGTTTGAAACAGCTGTTTCATAAGTTGGTAACACTAGCGACATTGGTGTCAGCCGACAGGGGTCAGACTTTTAGCGGCTCTTGACTTGAGATTCATGAAAAAAAAAAAAAAATGTAGAAACGGTGTTTTCTTGGACAATTCCTACCCTGCTGAAACTTCTACACCAGGGAAATCTGCCAGAAAGTGTTTTTGGGCGGCCTTCCCGCAGGACAGGCGCTTGTGTGCCTTCACATACCTGAAAGAATATCTAAGGCGGACTTCTTCCCTTCGGAAAGAAGGGGGGGGGAGCAGAAGTTGTTCATATCGTTCAGCAGACCACACAGGCCAGTTGGTTCTGCGACCCTGGCCAGGTGGGTTAAGTCAGTGTTAGGCACGGCAGGTGTTGACACAGCAACTTTCTCAGCTCATTCTACTCGAGGAGCATCCACTAAAGCTGCTACAGCTGCTGGGGTGTCTCTACATAGCATCATGAATGCAGCGGACTGGTCACGAGAGTCTACCTTCCTGAAGTACTACAGGAGGGACAACAACCAACACACGTTTGACCAGGCTGTGCTGTCCACGGCTCTGAAGTCTGCATAAGGTAAATGATATACCCAAATAGGGAGTGTGCAGGTATAATTGGGATTATCCTTCATGGTAAGTACAATTTGCCTAATCCTCAATTATATTACAAAGGGTAACAAACTCCTGCTGACCTACCAACCTCAATATACACATTATAAAGGTCACATAGTCCTGTATTGTGCATGTCTTTTGTCTTCTCTTTGTTGTGTTCAGTCTGTATTATAGTCTGTTTGCTTGTTCCACACTTAGCAGTGTCAAAATTGCACTTTATGTTCCCAAATCGTCATTGGGAGAATGCAACTTGGTTCCTTACATGAAACAGAAACTGCACTTTTCCATATGGTAGAACATACAGAAAATGCACAGCCAAAGCACAGGCAGACGGGCAAGCCATTCAACACAATACACATTTGTGTACATTGCTCATTTCAGAGTACTTGTAAACTTGTATGTGTTGTGTATTACAGATTGTGATAGAAGCTGCACGAGGAGATGGATCTTATGGTGACATCGCTGTTGATGATGTCTCCTTCACTCCAGGCTGCAGGGTGGACTTAAGTAAGTTGTTTTTTCTTAGACTTTTTTCTTAGACTTGCCCCTCATGAGTGGGGCACAGCAAGAAAAACATGAAAAGAATCTTGCGTTGTTTTTTAATTAATGAATCCTGATGACAAGTTGTCAGTGTAACTAATTAACACTCTGACCTTGAAAATCTGCAGAAAAAAAAATTGATCACGTGGCTTTTTGATGGAAAGTTTTGATGGAAACCAATATAATACAGACAAGCTTGTGTTCTAATGATTGAATCCTGCTTATCCTTACAGCGGCCAGTCTGGCACCACCGCCCACCCCCACTGCGGCTACCTGTCCGATCGGCCAGCTCCCGTGTTCGAATGGCCAGTGCTTGTCCTACAGCAAGTTCTGTGACTTCAACTATGACTGCCCTGATTCTAGTGACGAGTTGACTTGTCGTGAGTTAACAACTCTCCTTCGTTGAATAAAAAGACTCTTTTTATGCAACCAAGTGTTATTTTAGTCAGCTAACGTTTTGGTGACCATGTGTCACCTTCCTCAGTGCAATTCTGACTGGTTTTCATTGTAAAAACAAAGTGTTTTATGAATTCTATTTTTGCTTAATGTTCCCCTCAGCATCTGTGTGCAACTTCGAGATTCAGGACGACAACATGTGTTACTGGACCAACCCAACAAGCGATGACTTTGATTGGCATGTGCACAGTGGGCGGAACACTGCCGCCGGCACTGGGCCTACAGTGGACCACACATACGGCACACCTGCAGGTAAGGGGGGGGGATGTGCTATGCCAGATCCTTGTATTGTTGTATTGTTGTATATGTTGTTTGTTTGTGTGTGTGTGTGTGTGTGTGTGTGTGTGTGTGAAAACCTAAATCAGGATTTACAAATCTTTAAAAATATTTGTAATAAATATTGGTAGAGCTTTAATTTGATTTTAAGTAGAAACAAAGTCTGAACATTAGTTTGTGACATTCTATAGTTAGTAAAAAAATTAATATATATTAAACCAGCTTCGGATAAGGATGATGGGTATTGTATCCCATTACATACTAAGGCTGTGCCTTGTCTTTGTCTATAGGAAAGTTTGCATGTATAGAAGCTGCCAATCACTACTCCATGAAGGCAGAATTCCTCAGCCCCATGTTCGGACACTCTGGTACCACCTGTAAGCTCAGCTTCTGGTACCACATGTATGGTGCCAACATTGACGGTCTCACCATGTACCTGAAGATAGGAGAACAGAGGAGGCCACTGTGGTCGGCTAGTGGGGACCATGGTGATGTCTGGAACAATGCTGTTGTCAACATACCTCCATGTACTGCTAACTTCCAGGTCAGTTTTATTATTTACTGTTACTATAGTATGCAATTTAGATTTTAATGTTTTCTTTACTAATATAGAAGATCGTAGTTGGTACAATGTATGGCGACAACTATTGAACATAGTACAAAATTGCTAACACAACAAGGGCTAGCATAAGTCTTTGTGTTACAAGCACTAACAATGAGTTTCAGTAATTTTTTCTCATAACAAAGCTAGTTTTTTTATATATTTAATGTAGTAACCTATTTATATCAACTTCTGTAACCCTCACAGGTTCTGCTAGAAGGCAGTATAGGAACAGCGACTTTAGGAAACATAGCGCTGGATGACTTGAGATTCCAGGACTGTGGCTATCCTGACCCGTCTGGCTCCTGTTCATCAGACCAGTTCCAGTGTAACAGTGGCCACTGCATCTCCAAACTAGCCACATGTGACTACTCTCTGGACTGCTGTGACGGATCAGATGAATCCATTGGACAATGCCGTATGTGTAACCATTTAATCTCCATGTTTATTCAGATTCAATCAGCTACTTTGTCTTAGAAGGTTTTAGTGGCATCTAATGAATGCATTGTACAATCAGATGAATCCGTTGGACAATGTCGTATGTGTAACCATTTACATATACCATGTTTAGTCAGATCCAAAGAAAAACTTTGTCTTAGAAGTGTCTAGTGGTAGTCTTTAATATTTTTGCAAGGATATAGGGAAAGAATGCAATAAATGATACATAGGGAAGAAGTTATTAAGACGGAATGCAAAAGAGAGGAGATTGCAAAGTACTTCTTATTAAATTGTTGATTCAGAATAATTTTAAAAGTTTTGTGCAAAAAAAGTTGTCACAATATGCAATGCTAAAACATGTGATTCAACTTCAGTTTCGAGAAATGAACACTGCTATCAATGTAAGGCTTATTATAAATGTGGGCTAATTTTACTTATACTAAGTATTTATGTGTGGCAATTATAGCAATTTTTAGATGGCAAATAAGCCCCAAAAGATCATTAAAAAATCATCCCATTTTCTCTTTAGCAGTGACTGCAAAACAAAGTAAATGTCTGTTATACATAGTACATTGTCTTGTAAAAAAATACAACACATTTCCCATGTACTGTGTCTTCCCCAGGGTCCGTGCCCATGTGTGCATTTGAGAGGGACCTGTGTGATTGGACACAGTTGCAGTATGATGACTTTGACTGGAGGAGGCACCGTGGGCACACCAGCTCTGATGGTACAGGCCCACAAGTGGACCATACCTCTGGCACAACTAGCGGTAAGATAAATACATGCAAATCTGTCATGAAAGTTCATCTGTGTTGCTAGCTACAGGTTTAAAGTTAAAAGCTTTGTTTCAACACAAAGGATTGTTCTCACCTAGAGTTTTTGACCAGTCAGTCTGGTCTTCGTCATAAAATGACCCAGTGAGGCTTGTCACATGGATTCTGAAGTGTGACTTCAACACTGGGTCAAAGGTATCCAGTAAACAATGTTGGCCCCCATCTCAGTTGAGTGATGGGTGATGGGCAAGTAAACATGCAAATCAGTACTTTGAATGACCACCCAAGGGATCCATGAAATCTGTTCTATGTGGACAGGTGGTCACTGTGGACAGGATTCTTAATGCTTGTGTCAATGCAAAATATGATCTAAGGGACCACCAAAAAGTGGTTACATTAGTCAGATAATCTGGATGTAGATGTGAACACTTGTACAGGTTTGACTGTACTTAAATAGGTTTGGCTGTAGCCCCTTAGCATATCTGTTTTGATATCAAAAGGTATATCATAACCGCTTTCTGCAAAACTAGGTATCCATTGTTTATGTCCTTGGTGCTGAAAGTTTCAGTGTTATGAAATCATTCCTATTGAGGTTGTAAAGAATTGTGTACTGTACTGTACAATACTGTAACTATTGCCTCTACATCTTCTCTTGCAATTATTTCCCCATAGGCTATTACCTGTATGTGGAGACATCTTTACCCAGACAGCCTGGAGATATAGCACAACTTGCCAGTTTCATCATCGATGCAAACCCCAGGGACTGCTATGTACGTAATCTTGCAAACCATATTCCTCCAGAATTGAACCACAAAAACTGTTGCTTATGTAGAATTGAGCAGTGCTGAATCAAATGTATTGAATGGTACTCTTGTCCATTTTTACCAGCCAATTGATAAACATAAATATGGCCTCTTAAACCACCCAACTATGGTTGCTGTCAGAACTGGAGGAGAGTATGATGTCGCAATTTCAAATAAATGAATTAAAAAATGAATTATGATGTCCTGTAATATCATCAAACAGACGCAAATAATACACCAATGCTTATCAGAACACGTTCAATTGAATGAAATTGAAGCTGTTTTCCCTACAAAGGAAAGGCTTGAGTATCTGACATCTTTAATCCAATTTTCAGCTAAGGTTCTACTACCACATGCTGGGCATTGGCATTGGGAACCTGAATGTTTACATCAAGCCCATCGGCAGTGATGACATGAGGGGTGTGGACAGCTTAGCAGGGGACCAGGGTGATGCCTGGCTCCGACGGAATGTCTTACTCGCCAGCACTGAACCATTCCAGGTTAGCATTATCTTGTCTTGATAGCTGACTACTTTTCTTAAAAACCATGGACTGTCACCTTCTAAAGGTTATAACTTTTCTTAAAAACCATGGACTGTCACCTTCTAAAGGTTATGATTAAGGTTGTTGAAGTACAAAAGGCTTGAACTAGATACTCATTTGTAGCAACTGAAAATGCTATGACTTTTGTATAGCTGTGTGATTTGGTATGTGGTACTTGCAAATGCATATATCTTCACACTTAATCAAACCCCTACTCATGTAAATAAACTAATAGCATTATGTAATCTTAATTAATCATTTTTAAAACAAACTACATGGCAAACTCTTATCTGAAGGCTAATTGCAAAAGAACATACAATTATTATAGCATACAAGGTGAAAAGTGTCCAATCTTTCAAGTATATTACTGTAGGGTATGACTTCATCTTTGAGGTCATGATCAGTGGCTTAGGAATAGTCCCACATTCTTAACGATAAGTAAGTTTTGTGATCTTAGCAAAATATCACGTAAAATCACATAGACACACAGCTGACCTCTGTTGTATTTACAGGTGATTCTGGAGGGAGTGCGAGGGCTGGGTGTGGCTGGAGACATCTCTATAGATGACGTCACATTTACAGAAGGCTGCACAGCATATGCAGGAACAGTTGCCCCTCCAACTACTACCCCTCCCCCAACTACAACACCAGGTCAGTACTAGTGGGCAGGTTTTTTTATTAAAAGATGTGGAATACATGTAGGTAATAATACATAGGCCAGGGTTGGTTTGCACAGTTACCTTTTTGTCACTTTGCTTCATTAACTGCCAATGCATTGGAGCTTGTTTCATGTTTTAAACTACTATAACTGTATTGTTTGATACTATAATTAAATAGTGTTGATATGTAAACAAGACCCCTGACCATTGACCTTGAACTCTTGCAAAGCGGCTAAGGCAAAAGAGTGTATTGTGTACATTTCCCGGTTAAATAGAGGTTGAGGAAAATATTGTTCTATATGTTCCCATAGCAACAACCGCGATGGTTTGCCCAGTTGGCCAGCGACCTTGCAGTGACTTTGCCACCTCCAGTCAGTGTGTGTCTGAGACGGCCTGGTGTGACTTCAGGCCTGACTGTGGCGACCGCTCAGACGAGACAGACTGCAGTAAGTCATGCTTCCAGTTGGTGGCTCTAAGTTTTCCCAAACATTTGATACACATAAGAGAAATCATTCCAGAAATGGATGTTTTCCATATCTACGTTCCTAAATGTCTTCCAAAGGCTTGCTGAAGAGTATAAGTTGAGGAATTTGTTAAATGTTTAGCCTTGTATTTCTACATGTTCCTCTGTATTATGGAATCTTATTTTCTGTCATAATGTTTTGCAATCTTGGTGATATCCAGTTATATGATTGATTGAGTTTTTCAAATCCACAGCATTTTTTGTTCATTTTTGTTTAGATATCATCTGACTACTGTGTAATACCCTGGCTAAATAAAATAGAAACAAACAACGCATGTACTACAGGAAGCATTGACAATGCATATACATGTACATGTGCCTGAAGCCATCCAACATGCTCGCAAGCATAGTTTGCATTGGGAATGTTTACTTTGAATACTTTGCCTTTTCCAGTGTTATATTATTGTATTTTTGCCTACATCCAGACACAATCTGTAACTTTGAGAGAGACAACTGTCGGTGGAACAACCAACCAGGAGCCAGCATGAACTGGACCAGGACTACAGGAGCTGACACACAGGGAGATCCCAACTCACCCAGTACAGACCACACTCAGCAGAGCAGCCTTGGTATGAGATATGACCATTTATTTTTACTATAGTCAAAATTGCCACAGAAGGCCACTTGAGGGACCTATAGAATCTGGTCTGCGTGGACAGGTGGCCACTATAGGCAGGACTCTTAATGCTTGTGTCAATGGGAAAATTATCTAAGGAACAACCAAAAAGTGGTCACATTGGTGGTCCCTATGTAGAGGTGGTCAATTAAACAGGTTTTACTGTATCTCTATGTGATAGCCCAATGGTGTAAGACCAGCTTTGCAGTGTAACAGTAGTCAAACACAGTAGTCAAACACTTAAGCCTAGGATAAATTTGTTATTTCACGCTAAAGGAAACAAAGTATTATAAGTGTGTCTTCAGTTTCCGATATAGCATTGCCATATGGCACACATTCTCAGTGCTTCTATTTTTGACTGTGGAACTGTAATGGTCAGAACACAATTAGTGCCACCTTTAAGTATCCTCTTTTGTACTCCAGGGTACTTTATGTACGTGGACTCTACACCTCCGACCTCTAGCGGTGTGGCAGAACTGAGCAGTAGAACGTTCAACGGTGCTGCGGCAGCCTGTAGGGTGGAGTTTGCCTTCTTCATGTTTGGATCAAATGCTGGAACTTTAGAGCTGCTGATGGACACAGGTATGGAAACCTTTGTCTTTCATTGTATTGCAAGTTAACTCAATATGATTATGAAATAGCCTAGCCATGCTTTTATTATGTGTTTCTCAAGTCATAGCCCTTGAAGTTAGGATTGAGTTGAAAATGTATAATACTTTATTACAATATGCACAAAGATTGCATATTCAGAAAAGGCATCTGCCATTTTCATATCTGATAATAGTTGTAGTATGCATCAATATTTTGGCATTTTAAGTTCTGTTTATTCTAGTATCTGTTAGGCCTGCATGCCCAAAATTTTAACTTGAAACATCAGCCAAGTGTGGACAATAGCATACCAAAGTTTAAAGGATCTTCCATACCTGTTTACCTACCAGAGGGCGGTCGTACTTCCCTATGGAGAATTTCATCCACCAATTCTGAAAACAACAAGAACAGCTGGCAGACCATCGGCAGTGTGTCTATTGGACGCAGGAGACAAGATTTCAAGGTACGTTTCCAACCTTAATGGAGCCTGCTTGTTTCAAGTTAAAACTTATGTTCTGACTGGTCAAACACTGTAGGTGAGAACCATTCTTTATGTTGAAAGAAAAATTTAACTTTAAAACACATAAGTACATGTGTTGTATACACATTACATGTATGAACCTTATGACTGTTGTATTGTGTACATTGTTTTTTTTACAGCTGATCTTCAGGCATTCCTACACTGGGCAGTACAACGGTGCAGTGGCGGTGGATGATGTGGCCCTGAGGGGATGTGACTTCCCTCTCCCTCAGCAGTCCTGCCCCGGACAGTGGCAGTGTGGCAATGGGGCCTGCATCGAGAACGCACTTGTCTGTGACTTATCTGACGACTGTGGTGACAACACCGACGAGTTACTGTGCTGTAAGTAACATTGGTCACGTGCAATTCATCTGTATCAGTAAAGCCGGTATAACTGCCCTTTGGCATAACACACCAGCTTCACAGGCACGCAGCATAGTGGCAGCTAGCTATATTACACCAAGACCTGATGTAGGTGTTGCTTAAAGCTTTCTAGTGATGATGCCCTAGTTGTAATTGGTGTCAAGGAGTTCCACTCTCTGATAGTTCTGGGAAAATATGAGTTTCAGAAAGATGTGTAATGATTTTGTTCACACTAAAGCTTCAGCACCAAGGACATAACCACAGGCTAAGTAGTATGATAGTAAATGGTTTTTATACCCCAAATTTGTCACCTGGAATTCAGAAGGATGTGTAATAGTTTTAAAAACACTAAACCTTCAGCACCAAGGACATAAACATTGAATAAGTATTATGACAGAAGATGGTTTTCATATCCCAAATTTTCTTCTGATATGAGAACAGATATGCTAAGGAAAAAGTCACAATTCTTAGGCCAATAAATCCCAAGTTTGTAACTGTGCATCTAATGAGTAATGTGTCTGTTAAGGTAAAGGTAGTCCTGTAGTCCTCTAGCCTTTCTGACGCAGTGAGTCGTGGGCATGGTATTGCAAGGCAGAGCCCAACTGAGGGCAGGTACCTATTTTACACCTGGGTGGAGTGAGGGATGTAGCGTAAAAAAACCTGGGTGTAGTGAGGGAAGTGTCTTTCGCAAAGACATAACGTCTAGCCAAGAATGCAAGGAATCAAACCCTTGGCCTCTCGATCTCGTGTTCACTTGCCCAGCCACTCGGCCACTTGTTGCCACAATGTGTCTGTATCTAATTTAATTTAATGTTACCTCTTTGTATCATCCACAGCTCAACTGATCCATTGTAACTTTGAGGCAGACCTCTGTACTTGGCAACAATCAAATGAAGATGATTTTGACTGGATGAGAAACAATGGTACCACCTCTACCTACTGGAGCGGCCCCTCAAGAGACCACACTACTGGCACCAGGTTTGGTAAGTGTACAAGATTTCGTTTAGTCAACAAAAATGTTTCTGCTCTGTACTAAATTTAGATTTTGCTGACGAATGGCATGCCTCATGGGTTTGTGATTTTGTCATGGTTACAAATATATACATGTGTAGCCATATCATTAATTAAAAACATGTTTTGAACCAGCAAAATAAGGATAATACATGTACATTTATTTCTGTCTATGTGAAAAGATTGTTAACAGTCTGTATGTTAACTGTATGTCTGCTTTCCTCAGTCTATGGTTCTAAGAGAATTATAGACAACCATATATGCTTTGACAGCCCCCTCTTTAAGCAGAGTTTATATGATCAGTTTTAACAAATTTAAAGGCATTTGTATAAAGTTCTATTTTTTTGTTGCACCAGGTTTCTACTTGTTTGCTGAGACATCCAGCCCACAGAGCTATGGTGATCAGGCTTGGCTCATCAGCCCTGTCTTTGCAGCTACCCCTACCCCCATCATTCCCTCAACTTGTCAGGTACATTGAAATTAAAGCTAATACACTTATCTGTTCTGGGAGTGAATGTTGTGGTCTGACGGTAACAATTCAGTAAGGAGTCTGCATAGTTGGGAGTTTGTATCCTGGCTGTTATCCTTCAGCCAACATGCATGCTAAACTCTTTAGTGAGATAAACTGGATCACTGTCCAAGAGCAGCTTCAAAATGTCTAAATTTTTTTTTTCAGATGCGTTACTGGTTCCACATGTACGGTGAGCATGTAGAGGAGTTGAATGTGTACAAGAGACAGTACAACAGTGGGAAGGGTGTGCGCATCATGAACCATTATGGAAACTTTGGGGACATGTGGAACAGGTTCTATGTCAACATCACCAGTGAGACTCCATTCCAGGTAACTTTTAGGCCATGTTAGATAATTTTCTTACCTCTTTGACATCTCTTAATAAAAGATTAATCAAGTCAAGATGAAACAGAAGGTATTTTTTTTATTTGGATCACAGAAAACGGACATAATGGTGGCGCAACTCAAGTAAACAAACTAATCATATTAATGCCTCATACAGAAACGAAGATAATTATAATAAAATGTTGTTGCCTGTCTTGCAGATTGTAATGGAGGCTGTGGTAGGAGACAGTTATCAGGGAGACATTGGCATAGATGACATCAGTTTCACCGATGGCTGTCAACTCTATCCAGGTAATTTTGAAAAATGCATCATTATATGTTGCTCCCTTTTCACATTATGAAAAAATAGAAATAGAGCTATATGTTCACTCAGCAACATAATTCAGCATTCAATTTACTTTCTATTAGAGACAGAAGTTTACTTATATATAAAATGAGTTGTAAAAATTATTCACAACATACAGCGTATAATACACGATCTACATGTAGTAGACTCAATTCAGACTCTGCAATGTGATACAGTATGCAATGTGATACATTATCTGCAATTAAGATTTCAGTACCATTCAGTTGTGGTTCATGTTCTTACTCCTACAGGCCAGCTGCCCCCTTCCCCCGGCCACTACTTCCCCCCCACCCACCAGTGCAGGCCCCACCGTCTGCACCCCCACCCAGTACCAGTGTAGGAACGGTCAGTGCATTGACAGCAGCAGAGTCTGTGACTTCAACTTAGACTGCCGAGATTCCTCAGATGAAGATGGCTGTGGTAAGTGCATATACTTTTACATTATAAACTTTAACAGGCTGTTTGATACTATTAGATTAAACCAACCATTTACTTTCTCTATCAAGGATGGCAATATTCTGCTTAGGATGGTGGTGGTTTTTTTTTATTCCAACATGTAGTCACAAGACATGGTGATGGCACACTCAATTTTTCCCAACCCTTTTTTAATGCCACCACTAACATGGGACAATACAGTACTCATTTTGTCTGAGTGAAGTGAAGATAGTCGTGTAAAGTGCCTTTCCCAAGGGCACAATACCGGTGGCATGGCAGGGTTCGAACCCAGGACCTCTTGTTTCTGAGTCAACCACTTTAAAGTGTTACACCACACGACCCCACCCATGTGTCTATGTGTCCTCATGAGTACCTAACACTGCTGGTTGTATCAAGAATAACATAATATCATGATTTCCATTGATTTGTTTCCCAGTGAGTGAAAAGTGTGACTTTACTGGAGGAGACCTGTGTGGCTGGATCTCTCTGGACACAGACGGACCACGAATATCACGTGCCGTCACGTACTACCGCTGGCAGACAGGGCAGGGGAAGGACAGAACTCCTTCTGAAGCCTCCAATAACATCAGGCCTGGTGTGGACCATACCTCAGGAACAGGAGACGGTTAGTTCAGCAGCAAGTTAGAATGTCAATATTTTAAATTGTAGGATGTAGGATACACAACCAGTGCTTCTCTGCCCTTTTTAGGGCTAGGAAAAAGTTGTGTTTCCTGTTTCACGACGACCCTAGAAAAAAGGCTGTCCCTAGACTTTTTTTTGTGTGGACCCCTGCAAGGGACATTTTTTAATGCTGTTCTACCACTTATTTGGTTGTACTTGTTACAAGGTCTTTTCACCTTCTCATGAGTAGCCTGCATCATTGAGTAGCCTGTGTCAGTGTTCTACCAACCTGTTGAAATCATTTTTGGATACAATATATACTGTATTTGTATCTTTACCTTTGTATATGAACGTTTTATTTTGCTGTTATTATCTCTAACTCTTTGTTTGCTTGTGTGTCTATAGTTAATCAAATACTTGTTTAGAGGAAGTGGGAAATGGAGTAACTGCAGATTGATAGGAAGGTCAAATTAAACGTCAAATGGTCTCATCAGAAAGTGAGATCTAATAGGTCAAAAAGTACAAGTATCCAGGTCGCTATGATATTAGTACTTTTCTAACATAGTCCCATATGTCCTCAGGTTATTACCTGTTTGCGGACAGCTCACCTGGAAGTTTCCAGGACACCGCACAGATCATCACACCAGTGATCTCCCGTACGGGGTCCCAGTGTGTGCTGTCTTTCTGGTACTACATGCACGGGTCCAGTATCGGCTCACTGCACATCTACAGGTCAATACAGCCATTACCTTATGTTTAAGGACAGAGGAGTGTGCCAATGTACATGTACTAATATAATTGATATGACAAGGGTATGCTTTGGTAAGCAATAGCAAAAAACAATTATTTCAGAAATCTAACTTTTACTAACTCACAGATCAATCCCTAGCAATAGCCTTTGACTAGTCATTTAGCTAGATCCATATCATTTTGATTGTTAGTTTTCAGACATGTATTAATGTAGAATTTTAGTAAGAAGACAAAACAAAAACAGACGAGATTTGAGGAAAACTTGCTTCTGACTCTGTTCACTCCCTGAAACACAGGTAGTGAACAGACTCTGAGGCAGATTTTCTTCCTTGGACTTTGTTTTCATGTTTAGCAATCAGAGAAGCAAGAAATGGATTATTGTGGCCTAGAATAGATATTAAACAGCTGTAGCTGTTACCTAATCACTAAAATTGTTACTGATAGTTTTGCTTGTTTCACACCCTGCAGAGTCTTTAGTGGTCAGCAGGTGGAGCTGTTTGAGATAGACGGTGAGCAAGGAAATGTCTGGAAGGAGGGCCAGGTCTTCCTGGGCACCAACCAGAACATTGAGGTCAGTAAAATTGTAGTTAAACAAAGTCCTTTGTAGACAACCAGTATACAACCATCTGCAGTTTTGGTGACAGTCACCTTCCTCAGGCAATACGGACTGGTTGTACCAAAAGATCAACATGTGGTTATAGACTGGCAGTGTATAAGTGTATGATTGTACCTTGTTAAAGGCAACTGATATATAATTTCAGTCCCAATTTTCAAGTCAATTTTCTGGTCAAAACATGTGTTAATGCCTTTGCACCTGTAGAATCATGGTCTTGTTCTGAAGTGGTGTACAACAACTCTAGTTCAGCTGTTTTTGTTGTTTCTTTGCACCCAGATTATGATTGAAGCCAGAAGAGGCCGCAGCTGGGTAGGAGACATCAGTATTGATGATGTACAGTTCCGACAGTGCATGCCACCAGGTAAGGCCACACCAATTTTATGTGATGCTTGGTTCCTTGATGCTTTGGATTTTTGATATGGCAAAGCAGTTTGAAAATATTAAGAGCAATCATAACCAACAGTTTCCATAGAGACCATATGCACAAGGGGTTGGCTGTACACTCATTAAATCTTGATTTTCACAACTCTAGCAAAATTGTACTTAGTTGGGGAGCTTTTCGAGGGACACTTTGTTGTGTTAGTGTTAAGATAGCTCATCGGCAGATTGTACTGTGCTTGCTCAAAACCTGTAATGTGTTGTGCGTAGCACTTTGGCAAAACATCTCATTTAAGGTTGTATTTTGCATATTTAAGGATGACATCCTGTCTATAGATTCAAGGACATCATCTGCAATGGGCAAGATTTTGATGCAATTTTTACCAAATTTCCTATGACAGTTGTGAAAAATCCAGGTTTCACGCAGGTGCAGTACATTCTGTCGACATGCTGTCACATGTACATTTCTATGACCATGTGTTTTTCTACAGAGCCAGACCAGGGTGCCCAGTGTACAGCTGATCAGTTCAAGTGTGCGCTGGGTTTCTGCATCCCCCAGTCCCAGCACTGTGACTTTGTGGACGACTGTGGAGATAGGTCTGATGAGGACAGCCTCAGTGGACACTGTGGTAATTAAGTTTATCATCTTTCCAAATCCCCTGTAGGAAAAGGGTACATTATTTAGCTTCAATGGTTATATTGGTTTGCCACTAATGTAACAACTGTACAAAGCAGGAGTATAGAACTCACTGCTCAAAGTAATGAAATTGATTAACAAGAAGCATTATGCAAACAATTTATCAGATTTAAATTTTGGCTTGTAAAAATAGAGTTTCTGAGCACAGCATCTATAGATGCTGTTCAACCAAGAGGTTCAACATACCATATACATTTGCAAGAAGTTGAAAGCAAAGTTTTCTAGATTTGATCATAATTGTGGCTGATTTTCCTGTTTTTCTTGTAAAACACTCAAATACAAATGTGTCAGTTCTGAATTCAAAACCTAGAGGACAGTGATCATGAAACTATTTGCTATGAACAGTAACAAAAGTACGTTCAACCTTTTCAGAGAGGTACCCAGCTCGCTGTGACTTTGAGACAGACAAGTGCCCGCGGTACTGGATTGAGGAGGCATCTGATGACTTTGACTGGACACTAAGAGCCGGTAGCACGGCCTCATCTGGTACAGGTCCCAGTGTGGATCATACCAACAGAGATCCCACAGGTGGGCCGCTGTTTTTATGCTGTCATTGTTGGTTGGTTGATATTACTACTTATTGGCAGTACAAGTATTGCAATATTCAAGGTCACCCAAGACAATGACAGTAGCCTGGTTACATGTTACATGTCCACTACAAAATGACGGCATAGATGTACCAGTAACTGTCCAGAAAACAGTTTGTATTTGTGATGTGATTTTTTCTGTTAGGAGGCACTCATCATGTAAAAAACGGCCTAGAAACCTGGGATTGCAGTAAATGACTGTTGGTGACATGATCTTGTCTGTCTGTCTGTGTAGGTCATTACATCTACATTGAGAGCTCAGCACCCAGACAACCTGGTGACAAGGCTCGGATCCGCACCCCTCCCTTCAGTCAGGCGTATGATGGTTGTAAGGTGAGTACTGTCTACTTCAAATATAAACTTGGTTTCTAGTGTTTTTTTAAAGAAAGTTTGAAACTAATAATCTGTATAATTTTCCCCCAGTTGAGGCTGTTCTACCACATGTATGGTGTAGATGTGGGCTCGCTGAATGTCTACAGAAGGACCAGCTACCTCCAGTCCAATGGCTTGACTCTCATGACCAGCATTACCGGAGACCAAGGAAACTTCTGGCGGAGACTGGAGGTGGACTTCACAGGGTCTACTAACTTTGAGGTACTCTCTTCTTTCTTTCTGGTTACTCCTGGACTAAAGACAAAGAAAGTATCAGGCTTTTTTGTTACCCGGTGGTGCAATAGTACACTGACAGTCATCTTCAATATTGTAAAGGATGGAATAATTACAGTGCTTTTATTTATAGCAGTCCTTTGATTGCAAAGGATCTAAGTATTGCAACATTGCTTTTTTAATCTAAGAACAAACAAAATTAGTGTCGCAACTATGTATTAATATGACTTGTATGAAGGTAATGATAATCTTGTTTATTTGTTTGTTTATTGTTTGGGTTCTATCCTTGAACAGGTGGTTATTGAGGGTGTCCGTGGAACAGGTCCGATGGGTGACATCTCTATTGATGACATCTCCATGACAATGGAATGTGTGAAAGGAGGTAAGCAGTCCCCAGTACTCCTCTTTATGTCATAGGCTACACTGACTGAATCTTATGGATGACATCCCCTGAAGACCTTCAAACTAGTACGCGTGGGAGAGTAAAAAAAATTCCACCCAAAAAAAATGCTGCTGGACCACAGGAATACAAAGCTGGTATTGTGAGTTTACGGACTTTTGCAACAAACCATAACATGCTGATTTTTTGCAGCATTTATGACGGTAAGTCATCCATACTGGTATCAGTTGAAATCCTTCTTTTTTACTGACTTAGAGGTGACACGTGTTTCATGAACTCAAGATACTAATATATGTTTTCTTCTTCTATAGGCCAACTGCCAGATGGCCCCACTCTCAGCCCCCCTCCCACCCAACACCCCAGCTGCCCTACAGGCTGGCTGAAGTGTACCAACAGTGACACCTGCTACGCACCTTACAAGAAGTGTGACTTCATCGATGACTGTCAGGACGGCACCTCCACTGTGCCTTCTTCTGATGAAAACAGCTGTGGTGAGTTAGTAAACCTCTTGTACTATATGTTTTGTGCATTAAGGGGGCGTTGTGTGATATTATTGCACCAAAATTGAAATATTTTGATTAAAAAAATATTCATCAGATTGTAATTTATTTCCACTTTTAAAGAAACTCGTAACGTAATTTTGGCACCTATGTCCTGAATGGCACTTACCAGTATTTCCAATGATCCAAGGTTGATTCAACTTTAAGTTAGTAATACTTTCCAAAGAAATGACTAGAAAATTTGCTTTTTGTACTATCCTAATGGAGCTCCATTTGTGTATTATTTGTGTATCAAAGGCCTTAAAAACAAAAGTCCTTGTACTTTTGCTGTGTCTGTACATTTCTTTGTTCTTGTGTCTGCCAGGGAATGACTGTGACTTTGAGAGCAGTTTTGCCCCTCTCTGTGGGTGGAAGAACTCTGCCAGTGACAACTTTGACTGGACACTTCACCAGGGCCACACCCCATCCTCTGGCACTGGGCCTGGTCAGGACCATACCACCAACTCAGGTACTCCAGAATGTTCTGATGTAACAATATTTGTAAGCCCTCTATGTGCATTTTTAATGTATTCTGTGCTATGTCGATGAAGGTAGACATCCAGGTAAACAATATTCAAAGACAAATCAAACTCTACTACTAGAATGACAGGTGTCACTCGAAACATCTGGAAGTTTATCCAGTAGTAGAGTTTGACTTGCCTTTGAATATTCTCTAGCAGTCGGCATTTCAGTACCAAGGAGAGCATGCTGTAAGATGTTTTGGGATAAACACATGAGCATGGTAGAAAACCTGTCTAGGTGGCTCAAACCATCCAGTTCCTTGAACTTGGCAACTGAAAGTACAAAACTGGTGTGATATGCTGTTTCATAGTTACGTTAATTTTTAGTAAATTTGTCGTAAGGATATGTACATGTACAGTATGTCATAAAACTACTACGGCAAGCAGAATTGGCCCCTCGAAATGCAGGAAATAGCATTTTAGAGGATCACCATTATGTTGCGTCAAACAAAATTGAGATGATGAAAAAAATTCCAGGCTTCAGAACACTGTTGTACCATGTGGCCTTACCACTTGTCTCTCTTACCTGCGAGTCTACTTCTGTCCTGCTGCAGTATCAGGCCACTACCTGTACATCGAGAGCAGCACATCTGCAGGTGTGTCTATGGGAGACATCGCTCACATCACCACAGGTGTCTACCAGGTGTCCAGCACCACCTGCAAGCTGCGCTTCTGGTACCACATGTACGGGACAGGCACTGGCATGCTCAACGTAAAGATCAAGTCTGTCAACAGTGGCCTGACTGATCTGGTCTGGAGTAAGACAGGTGAGACAAGTCAGGTGTGGGCGGGGCAGGGGATTATATGGTCGATTAGAAGTTGAGGACAGGTGAGAGAGAATCTAAAGCAATGTCTGTAGGAAGAGAGTGAAATTTTTTATTGTTTATGCATTTGATTGCTATAATTTTACTTTTGCAAGTTTAGAGATAGATGCTTTCATGGCCTTATACATTCAATTAGGTATTCAAATACATGAACTTTCATTGTCTTTGGATTGTTCTATATTAAAGACATCACATTTAGCATGTAGCTTTTAGTATGAAGCTAACGAAAGGGTGGTACAACTATGACCAATGTACAGTTGACCACTGATGTTTACATGTAACTATAACCATTGGATATTTGTTTGTCTTATCTGAGAGTTTCTCTTCAAGTACATTTTGCACTTGGAAATGAGCCTTCAACTATGTGTTACTCTGACTGACCTTCAATTGTGATTGATTTATGAACCTTGTGTTGCCATGCCAACTCTGTAGGTGACCAGGGTAACCAATGGCAGCAGGCGGAGGTTTCTATTGGCAACAAACGCCAGTTTGTGGTGCTGATTGAGGGAATGCGAGGCTCTGATCACCTGGGAGACATCGCACTGGATGATATCTCCTTCGTGTCCTGCTCTACAAGTAAGAAATGTTTAAAATATAATCAAATTTCTTGATTTGAAATTTTTTCAACTGTGAGTTATGTAAATTAGTTTGAACTTGAACCAAGGTATGTTTTTCTGAATATGCAAATGAATGCACATTAGCTTATTATAATAAAATCCCAGGAGTCTTCATCACATTTAATTCTGAGGCCCATATGCTTTGGTTTTACTTTGAATTTTGCTCACATTTGTGGGGAGTACCTAAAAAAATTGTCTTGTGCCTGAATTTCGGACTTTAGTATATCAACATGTAATTTTGCCCCTGACTCATAGAAAAGAATCTTGCACCAAATGTATGGTACATTGCCATCAATTACTACATAAATTGATCCTTCACAGATCCACCCCCATTGCAATGTGGAGCTGATGAGTTTAGATGTACAAGCCAGCCACAGTGCGTGAGCCAGGATGTGGTGTGTGACTACAAGAATGACTGTACTGATGGAACTGATGAGGCACGCTGTGGTATGAACAACTTCTGCAGAATCTGTCTTTTGTAAATTCAGACATCTTGATGCTTGTCAAACATTTTGCTACTTAGAGAAGGCTATATATAATATAATATATATATTAGGTTTCTTGAATTTGGGATGAATTTGGGATGAATTTGAAATTTCTTGGGTTTTCCTGAAAATGGGACATCACATTGATATTGATATTGATATTTTGAGTTATGGAACATGGGGTCTCAGCATGCTGCATTGATGAAGTTCACAGTTGATGACATTTAGCAAGAAAAAATCTTAAGCTAAAAACTATAATATAATTATAACACTGAGGCAAGAAATCAAAGGAGGGACAAAGACTGGGAGATATGACAGTCACTGTACTTCATGTAACAAACATCTGATGTTCTATCTTGACTTTTTAAGAAGAAAGATTATTTATGTCCTTCATCAGTGTGCCCTCTGTTCTTTCCAATCCATTGAGGTCTTGTTTTCTTTTTTATTTACAGTCTACCAGCCTGGAAACTGCAACTTTGACAATGTAGCATCCTCTGTTATTGGATGTGGATGGTCACAACTAGACAGCGATGACTTTGACTGGTCTGGTCCTGCTACAAACACACCTACAGCCAACACTGGGCCTTCCTCCACTCACAACAACATTGGTATGTCATAGTTCTCTCATGCAGTGTACTTTCCTGTGGGTGATAAAGATTTTTCAAATGTCTTCAAAGAATGACAAAGAGTGGTACGGCACTTCATACCCTTCTGTCACAGATAGGGTGCTGTATCCTTTGCTTTATTTAGGGCAGGGTGCTCTTTGAATCAGCTTACAGGATTTTGTTTTGCATAACTAAGATTGGCCATTCAATCATTGACTAGTATAGGTGCTGACTCTGCAAAATAAAACTAGATAATACACCTGATGTCAGCCATTTGTCATAATTCCTGGAAAGTTTATAATAGCTGCAATCTCTGTTGAGTGATGGTTAATATGCGCTCATGTAAATGGAAACAAAAGTTTCTGAAAAGGCAGCTTCTCTACACCCACCCCCAGGTCGATTCCTGTACATCGAGAGTTCCTCGCCCCAGAGACCAGGCATGCTGGCAGCCCTGGAGAGTTCCGACTTCCCCCCGGGTATCGGCACATGTAGGATGAGGTTCTTCTATCACATGTATGGGTCTCCACAGATGGGGGCACTCAAGGTAAGGAACATGCTGTTTGTATACTGAGTCCTGCCTATTTTTGCTCACTCAATTTGCATGCTTCTGAAAAAAATTGCAGTCTTTACTATAATGGTTATCCACTATTTCCTGCCAAGATGTCACTTGTATTTTCCTTGTGTTTTATTGTACACAGTACACAATTTAGCTTTTAGCTGCAATGTACTTCTTATTAGTAAACCATTCGCTTGTTTGTTTGTTTGTTTGTTGCATTATGCAATCATGTGCATGTATTGAGCTACCAAATTACATGTACTGACTCAGAGGTTTGTTTCAGTTGATTGTGACTGATATAGTCTCTGTCTTGTGCCCTCCCCAGGTGTACACACACTCCAAATCAGGTCCACGGCAGCTCATGTGGATAGAGGCAGGAAACAAGGGCAACTCTTGGCAGTACGCAAACTTCCCCATCGGAAACTCGGACATGTACAAGGTGGTGGTGGAGGCTGAAGTAGGCGGGAATGACCGCAGTGACATCGCCATTGATGACATCTCCTTCTCTCCAGGCTGTTCCAACTGTAAGTTATCTTTTCTTTAATCTGTAGACCAGAAAACCTACAAGTTCAAAGCCGGTGTCTGAAAATTTCATAGATGATAGCCACACCATTGTAATTTCCTGGTTTTGGGATTTTAGAAGTAATGCTAGATCAGAGTACCAACTGTTACATGAGAATAGAGTCTGAGAAGATGTCTGGGCCTTAACTGTGATGCACACTGTTTCAGGGAATGAGTCAAGATTCCCTCCCAGATCTCTGCTTTTATGATTTTTCCATCTATATTTTTGCAATAGTTTGATATGAGAGTAGTAGGAGTAGTAGTACTAGACTAAGTATATTGCTGCAGGGGTCCCTGGTTGGGCTGCAGTTGGCTAATTTTAACGCCATGTTTCCAGCTGGTATTAAGGACACACTCTCTAATATCCTTCTTGATACACTCCATCCAGAATTCGATATGCATGAAATATCTAATATCTAATTCCCTACCTCTCACCACAGTGACAAACAGCTGCCCAGTCGGCCAGTTCTACTGCCCAGACTTCCCCCTCATCAACTGTCTGCCTGACGTCTGGATCTGTGATGGTGACATCGACTGTCCTGATGGACGTGATGAAGCCGGTTGTCGTAAGTTTCACACATTCCTGTTTGCTATTGCTGCTGTTCCAGAATGCCAAGTTTTTTCACCAAACTTTTTTTAGATGTTATAAAAATCGGTCAAAGCATACTTCCCAGTATTTTTTTTACTTCCTAGTTGCTTAATCTAAAATTATTGTTAACATTCTACTGGTTATTGGATAGTAATCTAAAGAATGAATTCAGGCTTCAACATCATAGTCTATTACTACCATGTAACTTGGCATGATTTTTCTTGTGCAACTGAAGCACAGTAAAGATAATGCAAAAATCTTTGTTTCTCTCTTCTAGCAACCGCGTCGTACCAGTCAACACCAGCAGCCGTGACTAGACCAGGTGGTTCAACAGGTATGTGGGAGTCAGGCTTGCTACCAAGATTCCCTAGAATGTAGCTTTCCTTAGCTCTACTATGGAATACTATATAGTATTACATGTAGTTGGAAATGTTCCTGTGGTTTTTTGAAGTGATCTCTTTACTGCAAAACCATTGCAGCTGTAACAGTACTGTACTACAGAATTGTTAACTGCAAACATAGAACTCTGCAAAAACCTTCTTTCCCAGACTCCTGCTGCAAAATTTAATCTCTGCAATGGGCCATCTGGCAATTGCAATTACAAATATGTTTGTTACTGCACCTGTTGCTATGTAATGTTGGAAAATAGCACAATGTCAAATTTCAAACTGACTATAAAAGAGTGTATAGATTAGGAACAATTTAAGGCTCTCTAGACATTCTCCCATTGGTATGAAATAAAGTTTCCTTTCAAAAGAATCTTATCAGACACATGCATATACTTGACTGTGTACGTAAGTTCAAGCCTTGTTTGTTATGTTTGCCAGGTACAGCGAGCCCAGGTACAGTGAACCCAGGTCCTTGTGGTGTCCGTGAGCTGAGGTGTACAAACGGCCAGTGTGTGTCGGCCATGTTCCAGTGTGATGGAGTCAGCGACTGTAGTGACAACTCAGATGAAGTCGGCTGTAGTAAGTTTATCTCAACTCTTTTTACAAGTATACATACTGTTGACCTCAATAAAGAAATGTCCCTAAGATACCTGACAGAGTGAAGTTGCATGTTTTGACAATTTTGCTGTCAAAAGCAATCTTAAGGTTGACCATATTTCCCCATCTTGTTATAGCTGGCAACTTCCTCGGTAATGGCACCATTGTCTATTGTGTACCTCACCAGCACCTGTATTTATGTTTACTTGTGCCTTTGCAGAAGACAAACATATTGTTTTTGCTCTGTTTCTTCATCTTCTCCAAACACAAAAGGTCAATGACCTGGACCAGACGTCTGTCACCATGGTAACTGCCACTGTAGCAAATACCCTGTGATGTTGGGTTACATTTTGCAGGACAGAGTGGGAAGGGCTGGTCACCGTATATTATATGAATGTGCTTCAGAATAAACAGAGCAGTTATTTTTAAATTACTGTTACAGTAGTGTGTTAGGCTAGGCCATGTGGAGGTAAGCATAATGCTTTGCAAATGTTACCTTTTTGGTTTCTGACTGTATTTTTCTGTCTTATAACAGCTGGAGACTTCCCCTGTAATGGCAGCAGTGTCTATTGTGGTTCCACCAGCAGTTGTCTGAGTCAAACTACCCGCTGTGACGGGACTGATGACTGCACAACAGGAGCTGACGAGGCTCTGTGTGGAAGTACGTATCATTAAGTTTGTAAAAGGATGTAGGATTCTAAAGAGAAAAGAAATAGTCAAGAACATACTAGTACATAAAATGATGTCATACATGTCACAGCTCAAATATACACTTAATTATTTCCATTTTCTGTCATAGTTGATACTGAGCCTTTTGATTTTACTATAATCTCATTTGTCTTTTTTTCATCAAGTTGTTGGTCTGACCACATTGTCATATACTTTTAGGCTGTCCCATCACCTACTGCCAGAATGGAGGACTCTGTCAATACAGGGAGGATGCCACTACTTTCTATTGCAGGTAAGCCTGGATGCTAGTCTATCCCTACGGAATCTAAATAGTTCCAGTCAAAGTTTTGTATGGCTCAAAATTAGATTATGTCATTAAAATACATAATACGGTATGTAGTGAGTCATATCAATGATACCTGTAGTTTATATATACCAATAGTGACTAAAATACAGAATCTGATATAGTTCCAGTTAAAGTTACATGTATGTCGGAAATACATGTACATTGAATAATACGGTATGTAGAGAGTCACATCAATGATACTTGTAAGTAATGCCAATAGTGACTAATTGTTCTAACTTGTTTCTCCCCAGTTGTACTGACAAGTTCAGTGGCAGTCGCTGTCAGCTGGAAGTTATCAGTCCTCCAGACAAACAGAGAGGAGGGACAAATAGTGAGTTTTGGGTCATTTCTGTAGCCAGCAGTGCTGCACAATATCATTTGATTGCAGTGTATCATTACACAGTAGTGAAGTGTATTTTGTCAGAACTGAGGCATGATAACGTTTGGTAAGAGCCCATGTAATAACTAGCCGTTTCATACAGGGTTCTAGCAGTTAGGCACAGGGTTCTAGCTGTTAGGCACACAGGCTTCCAAATGCTCAATAGAATAACTTGAGTTTGTTTCACCTGAGCAGAGTACACTGCTTGAGAAAATTCTAATACCAGATTCAGATGCTGGAATTGGTACAACTTTATAGGGTCACCAAATTTCGTCACATTTCGCATTGAAATATGTTTTCTCAGGTGGGCATGACATAGAATCTGCAGTTGGGCTGATACCTACAAATACTCCAAGTAGTATTCTATATACACCAATAAACAAAGAAGTGGAATTTTGACTCTCATATACATTTATATTTATCATCCAAAACCAATGCAAACTGATCTGCAGCAGATTTAGATACTTCCTTGTATATAGTTACACCATTATAATTGTTTGAAGTTATATCATCACTACAGATACATAATATGTATTTGGATGACATTGTTTGCATGTTTGTTTCTTCTCAGCTACCATGTGGATAGCCATTGGTCTTGTTGGAGGAGTCGTTCTTATAATGGCTGTCCTGGCGGCCATCTACTTTGTTGTCAGAAGAAACAACAGAGACAGGTCAGTCTTTTAAGTACATGTACACTAAGCCTTGATTTGCAAAAGTTCTATTTGCTCTAAAAATTTACTGTACTGTTCATCTGAATAGCATTAGACCAAAATGTTAACATTCACACATTCAGAACCTTCCCCCAAACACTAGCCGACCGAAGTAGAGTGACGTTCAAAAGCAGCCTAACCGAATCAAGGCCACACCTACCTTTCTATACAAATCAAATCGAATTTGAGTTAGATTTGAGTCAAATTTGAATGCCAGCCACACCCCAACCTACACCCAAACAACAAGTGTATCCTACGTAGCCAAACTCAGCTGGCCCAGCCAACTTTGCTCCCGACCTACTTCTATCCATGGTTGGGGGGAATTCAGCTAGTTTTGGGTATGCCATATTCAGCTAAGTGTGACAGGGGTAAGTTGTTACAAGAACTAATTCGATGCTCATGAAGGTTAACCAGTCTTTTTGTCCTGCAGGAGATTTGGAGGCCTTCCTGGTTATGGTACCAACAACCCTACTTATGAACCTGATCAACTTCAAGATGTAAGTCATGGTCAAGTCCACATTAAAATGAGAACCTTTCGTGCACCTGATCAACCTCAAGACGTAAGTTAAGTCATGGTCAAGGGCACATCAAAGTGAGAACCTTTCGAATAATGAGGTCTTGAATAAGATTAGACCAAAAGATCTTTTCTATTGATTTTTCAAAGCAAAGGAGCAAATACAGTGAGCGAAAAATATCATAAAAATACACTGATAATGTGATCATCATAGTATTATACAATAATAAGAAGCTCAGAAATTTCTAAATATGATGGCAAAATCCAAAAACTGTATATTCATACTTACAAGGATAACACTGATGACAAAAATTTTGAGTATAACAAACAATAATGATAACAACGTAAATTCAAACATGAGAACAAAATGTGACAAAAATTCAGGAATTCAAACATGAAAATGATAATACAGATGTAACAGAAATTCAAATTTAACAAAACTTAAGAATGATAGGTAAGCAGAATATCAGCTTAATGACATATATAGGTCTTACTTAGTCTCAATATGACCACAAACATGTAATATTTACCAAAACTATAACATTTGGCACTTCAAGGCACCTTCAATTCATATATTAAGTAGCCCTGTCCTTGGTGCTGAACACCTTCACTTCTTACATAACTAACCCTGTTCTTGGTGTTCTTTGTACTTACATAACTGCATTTATATAGTTCAAGAAATACGTTTCAAAACCTGTTGAAACTTCTATCATCAAAGAATTTCTATTTATCACAATCAGATATAAAATGCAGATTGTAAAATGCAGATTGCTCACATCTGTTGATGATACAGGCCACATTTACTAGTTGCTTATTCCAAGATCTGTTGTTTTGTCTCCACAGTTCAAATTCAGTGATGTAGATACGTCATACATGATTGACACCCCAGATACAACCTACATGATTGACACCCCACAGGTGAGTTACAAGGCCTTTCTAGGAATTGTAATGCTTCATAGACTCAGACCTGTCACCATGCCACTATGTTTAGTATATATACAACTGCTTACTGTACCCTTTCTAAATATAGTATAGCGTAGCTTAGCACGTAAAATGTGCACTGCATGAGGTACTTAGTCAATAGTTCTCTTCAGCATTCTGCCAGTACCCGTTGAACCTACATGTATATGTAGAATTTTGCTAGACCTATTCCAGCTAGTAATCTTATAATCTGCCATCTACCTACCACATTTGTTGTGCAATGAAGTTTGACCATATATTGTTTTCTGACAGAAACTTGGCACAGATGCTGCTGGAATAGACAACCCACTGTACGGTATGAAGAAGGAAGCAGACTTTGGGCTGGACATAGATGCTCCAGCATCCAGCTCTAATGCGTAGCAACTTTAGAAAAAACTTAGATCATCAGCAGTAGAATAATTTTGTTTAAATGAAGAAAAGTCGTGACTAATCACATTGAAACAAATACACTTAGTTTGAGACAGTAGAAAGGTGGTGTATTGTGTTACATTTACCTATTTGTTTACAAAGAAATTTTGATAATGGTTAAGAATTCCTGAAAATACTTGTATCCAAATCATAGATTGTATACACCCCACTTCTTTTTGTAGCAAGTTAACATTCCCGCATTCATGCTTTTATATGTGAACAATTACAACTTATGATATGAAAACACAGCAATATTTTGGACTGTTTAAATGTGTTTGAATTGAATTGAATTGAACTGAATAGGAACAGCAGCCATTTTGGTGATCAAAGGGACATGTGTGAGGGTATTCAAGGGCAAAGTGCAAAGGAATGTTGGAAACGTTCATGTTCCACATATTTTGTAGTTTTATGAAGATTGTGTATCTTATCCACTAAAACAGTGTTTGACAGCCTCCTTTTCTACATTGTACACTTCTACCACATATACATTGCACCTACAAGAGATAGGCTGAAGCTTAAGCTTAAGCTTAAGCTATGCTAAAGGTAATTTTTTTCATAACACATGAAAGCAGAATTACTAATTTTATACCAGCATGAGATCTAAGAGGCTTTGAATGTATATATTGCTATGTCTTGCCCAATGGCCAATAGCAAATGACAGAAGAATGACTGGACTAATTAGACAGTCTGAAACTTCTATTTTGTTCATTCTGTAGTAATGAAAGAACTACTGGACTATTGGAAGGAATTCAGGTAAGGGTAAAGTTGTACAGTTTTATGTAATTAATCTCATCCAAGCAACTGCTGATATGTACAGTGATGCACACACACATGCTTGAGTGAAATAAACACTGTGCTTTTAACATTGACATAATGTTTGTATTGCATTGCATTTTCTTAATTATTTCTACCCCTACTGTTATATACTATTGAATGAATGAATGAATAAATGAAGCCACAAGAGCAGCAGAGGAGAGTTAAATGGAGGAGGATGGTGAACTAGATATAATATTAGATGAACTAGATATATAGATGAACTGTATATAATGATAACATTTACTTGAAAAGTCAGATGTATTGTGAGGTCTTATTAAGTGTAACTTAAGCTGATGGTGAATTGTCACATGGAAGTTTGGTAAAAATGTACAATCAGCACCAAGGACAGGGTCAATCTCCTCACTTGTGGCACTGTAGGCTGTAACGTGGCTTAGTAAGAGCTATTCTAGGTTTAAAAGGGCGCCAAATAAGTTTTACTACAGTGTTACGTAATATACGAGGTGAAGTGCATGGATCAAAAGCGGCCTCTAGCAGTTCAGCGTAGGACTGCACCCAATACTTGGGCCGAACTACTCCATTACTGCAGTGATTGGGCTATCTTCGAGGCCCTAGACTAGAAATTTTCCACCGCCTGTCTTAAGTACGCAATCGGTAGGAGTTTTACACAGTTGCGTGGAACTCCCGCCGCGACAAAGCTCTTTAACAGGTTTCCTACACTCCGATCGGTTGCCCTAGTTGAAGCTGGGGCGGCGGCGAAGAGCTTCTACCGGCCCCGAGGGCAAGTTGGCCGAACGCCAACCACCTGTAGAAAGCCGCCGTTGATGAGAGGATCACACGTCAGTGCCACAAGATACCGGTGCACAGGTGATGAGGAAAGACTGTTCATGTCGTAAGTCTGTCAGAAAACAGGGTGTCGAAGTCAGAGGCAGGAACCCTGTCCTGGAAGCCTCCCCGTACTACGGGACTAGGCCGGTTTCTACTCCGTCTGCCAGCGATACACCCCGACCAATCTAATCTGGACATTGCTCCGAAATTGGTACATTCCTCACAAAGTCGGACATTCCTCCAGGTTTGAGTGTACACTCCTCAAGGTGAGCGGACGTTCTTCCAATCACGCGGAGAAGTGTACCGATTTTGGAGGAATGTACGCTCAAAACCGGAGGAACGTACGCCCAATCACGCGGAGAAGTGTACCGATTTTGGAGGAATGTACGCTCGAAACCGGAGGAATGTACGCTCAATCACGCGGAGAAGTGTACCGATTTTGGAGGAATGTACGCTCAAAACTGGAGGAATGTACGCTCAATCACGCGGAGAAGTGTACCGATTTTGGAGGAATGTACGCTCAATCACGCGGAGAAGTGTACCGATTTTGGAGGAATGTACGCTCAAAACTGGAGGAATGTACGCTCAATCACGCGGAGAAGTGTACCGATTTTGGAGGAATGTACGCTCAAAACTGGAGGAATGTACGCTCAATCACGCGGAGAAGTGTACCGATTTCGGAGGAGTGTACGCTCAAAACCGGAGGAATGTACGCTCAATCACGCGGAGAAATGTACCGATTTCGGAGGAATGTACGCTCAAAACTGCCGAAATGTACGCTCAATCACGCGGAGAAGTGTACCGATTTTGGAGGAATGTACGCTCAAAACTGGAGGAACGTCCGCTCACCTGGAGGAGTGTACGCTCAAACCTGGAGGAATGTCCGATTTTGTGAGGAATGTATTAATTTCGGAGCAATGTCCAGATTAGATTGGTCGGGGTGCGATAGTAGCCCCACAATCGTTAAGCCGGCCCACGGTGCAGTAGTGGGCGGCATATCTCCGCAGCCCCGCCCCCGCCCGGCCCAGTTATTGTCGATAGCTGGTCAAGTAGAAATAGCCATTACCCCGCGGTACTCTACAGGGTAGAGGAATGGCACAATCTTCCCGCCTCTGCTGGCAAAATATACCCTAGACGGCAGAACCCGTAGGTCGCCCCCCTCCCAACGACGCCCGGACCCCCTCGTACGATCCAGCCCGCCGAGGACACCCGGCTTATCCCCCGGCTACCACGCCTCTCCGTCAAATGTAACTATAGAAAGTTTGTGTCATGAGTGTGTGTGTTATTTGTGATAGAAATTTGGCAATACTGGCTCATTTTTTGTTGTATTTCGCGATAATATGAACGCTATAGCCGGCTTGCCGATTCCTGTTATGGCGGCGGCTTCGCCACACGGTCTCTCAGAAAATCGACCATTCTGCAAACTCGGAGACCGTGGATTCGCCAAAAAATACGACAAAAACGTCAACGTACGGCTTTTATTTTCAGTGGTATTTGTAGACAATATAAAACGTACGACAGAGCCGTTGAAAAGTTATTGAAAATACTTGGCGTTTTCTAGAAAAATAAACATTTGTGTTTCAATCAAGTAAAATTGGTAACCCCCAAGAGACCCTAAATTCCGCCTGTCAAACCCGGAAGTGAGAAAATGGGGCCACCTGTAACAGATTTAGCCCACTCGCGGATTCCGGCGATTTGGGAATGGCCAAACGGCGGAGGCTCGTAAGGGGGTTTCAACTTTTTACAAAATAATTCATTTTATGACTTTGTCAATGTGTTTACACGCCGAAAACTGATCGTTTATTTTTTGTAGGTATGTCGGAAAATTATAAGCGACAGGTTATTGAAATTCTCGTGTTTTTGAGGCGAGAAAAATATAATATTGTAGAAGTGATTTTCATGTATCTACTTCCTAGGATTGCTTCCGTTTGACAAATACATTATATTGATACAAAGATTGACTCATTCCACACATGATACTTGTGTATTTTTGTAAATTTCTTAATTTTTAATGTTTTATAACTTTATACCAATTTCCAAACACCGGCTATACAGATACAGAGATACAAATGGCATTCAGCACCAAGGACAGGCATTGCACTACTAATTGTTAACTGGTTATTTGTAACATTTTTGACAGATGCCCTTCTTTTCCCCTTCCATGAGAGTGTTGGCATCAATGTTCAACCCAGTGGCACGTTACAGTTTCTGTTTAAACGTGACAAACGTAAGGAAAAAGACAAAATGTGCGCTTCCACCGAGAAATGATTGCATTATCTTTATTCAAATTATCAGCTGAGGACTAACAGGTGGGAACTACCCATGAGGACACGCGAACTCAGAAGTTCCAAGATGGCGGCTGCACATGGAGCGGGAGAAATTTCTGCTAAAACTTCGCCTCTTTAAGACGACAAACGTCTGTTTTATGTGGTGAGTAGTACGTAACTTTGTTCTCTGTATACTTGTGACCACTTTTGGACAGTCTCGTGTGGAAAGACGCCGTAACACCGCAGAAATATGACCGTGTTTTTAAGCATTGTGGCGTGCCATGTGCGAGGGCGCGGGAGAAGCTCCTGCTAAAAATTCGCCTCTTTAAGACGACAAACGTCTGTTTAATGTGGTGAGTAGTGCATAACTTGGTTCTGTGAATACTTGTGACCACTTTTGGACAGTCTCGTATGAAAAGACTCTGTAACAACACAGAAATATGACCCTGTTTTAAAAACATATTTGTGGCGTGGCATGTGCGAGGGCGCGCCCGAACTAGAGTTATTTGCATAATAAGTAAATTAACTTAAGGGAGAAGAGTTTACTTATGGCTTATGCTTCCCCGTCCAGCTTGATATAATCCTTCTTATGAAATTAATATTCCTGACATTCTACTATATTATCTTTCGTAAAATTTTTAGTTTGCTTTTTACCAAAATTGGATTTCTGTCCTGCAGTAAATGTCACTGTGAATATTTCTTCAATAATAGAATGTTTGACCACGTGTTTTATATACAATGTATGTTCTGACAATTTTTTTGAATGTACAAAACATATATGACATTGGGTAAAATCATTGTATGGATACTTGATGTATGTATGAATTACAGATGATTATGTTCAGGTATTTTATATTTGCCTTTTACAGGAATTGAGAATCTTGTCAAACCACATTGTTTTCCAATTATTATGTTCTGTCAATATGACCTTGAATGTGATATGATGTTTGAATGTTGTTGCACTTGTGTTTGAAATGCATTTCATGTATTGTTACTGTTTTAGACTGGTACATTGTATTCCATGCCTTCTCAAGATGCTGCATTAGTTTCTTGGCTATGATAGTATGATGTTTTTGTAGCTGG